TCAAGAATTACTCAAATTTGGTATAGACCACTTAAAGTAATCTCTCTTTGATATCATGCATTATTGCCACCTCAGCTTCCAGTTTGAGCACAATTACTCGAACGCGGTTTTATTCAATGTCTTGAGCTGTTTTACAGATTTTGTCTTCATCCAATATTTTGTTAAAAAAAATTATTTTTTAAATATCTTTTAGAGCATGGGAATTAAAAAAAGATCGGTCGCTTGGTGACATTTCTAGTAGTGGCAGTATTTTATTTTGTTTCACCATAAATTGTTGTATATGTAATAAACAATTTCAAAACAAATTTTCTAAGCAATCGTTTCATGTCTAATATTTCTATTTGATCAGCAATCTTTCCTAAAGGCGTTTGTAGTCTTTATAAACTGTTGGATGTGACATAATATCGTTGGAAAATGCACTATTTAACATTTTGACTAGTAGTTCAAATTTATTTTACTTCTAGTATGATTAAATCATACCATTTATACATATATAGACACATATACATGATATACATAGAGTATATTATTTCGAAATTTTTAAAATGTTTAAATTCAATAACAATATATATTTGTATCTTAAAATGCAAATAAATAGTCATACGTAGGCAAGAGGCCACTAAAAACATAACTCCCTCATTCAAGTGAAAGTAAACCACCCTTATAGGTAATCTTGACTACGTCCCTAATCTTGCAGGATGATAGTTCTGCTAGGTCGGTAAGTAAATCGGCCCAAAGATTTCTAATTTACTCCTAGCCATTAACGGATATTGACACTTGAGGTGGAGTAGAGTTTTCTTCTCATATACACAGCCATAAATCCAACAAATGTCTTTATAGGATAGACAGTGATACCGTAATCAAGATCGATCTTGAGGCATGACGAAAGGATTCACCTGCATAAGTTTGTTTACCTTCTGTGGGATGGTTCGATAGTCAAAATGAGATCCGAATAGAAATAGAAATTATACAGTTTATGGGAACAGCCGACTCTTTCAACTGTTAAACTATTATTTAACAATCCTATTATTTAAAAATTATCATTTCCAAAATATAAGCGTAAAAATATATTTCTTTCTATTTTCTTAGTGTTCGTTTCCCCTAGTGGGGCATACGACAGCAGGTATACTTAAATATACTTAACTATATGTAAATTTTATGTTCGATTTTCGACTGTTTTCGGTTCATATCCGTTAGTAGTTATCTAAATTTAAATATTATTATTTGCATCACTCGTGCACGTCATTATTTTTCTTCATCAGTTACAACATTTTGTTATATATTTTTACTGTTATTGCTGTTGTTGTTGCTGTTGTTATGATTACTACCTTTATTTTCTATACCATTTTAACTCGTGCCAATATGATTTTCGTTAAAAAGCTAAGCTGCAATTTTCTAAACGACATCCACGAGTGTGTTCCATGCACATTAGTAAAATGTGCTTTAGCTGTTTGTTATAAAAGTTTTGTTAAATTTGTTTTTACGCTCAAACACATAAACACATAAACAAATATACAAATACACAATAGAAAACAAACAACACCAAACATAAAACAAATACACAACAAAATAGTCGTAAAATATTTTCCAAATACGTGAGTGTTTGCATATGAGTCAGTAAATTAATGTGTGAATGGTTACGTGAGTGTGTAATAAACCCCAAGTGATTTCCTAAAATGGCGCCCTGCTTAGCACAGACACACACCAATTTAAGCGGTTAACATATACTCGCATACAGGCTTGCATACCAAAACGAGTTGGCATACGTGAGTAAGTCAGTCATGCTGTGTGTGTCTCTACTTCTATTTAAATAAAATTTTAATTCTACCCTGGGTTATTTGTCAACCTTTTACCCGAAAATATTGCATATTAAGACACACATACACACACACAAGCACGCAAATAGTGTGCACTCAATATATTTTCGTGTACATACTAACCCGCCAATATATGCGAATTACCACAAATACAAGCGTAACTTTATTAAGTGCGACGCACGCGAGTTTATGAGTTTCGGATACGTTTTTCTTTTTTTATTTCTCTTCTGACTTTCTATGTTTATTTTACAATTTCAAGTTTGACTTCATGCTGGTCTCTTGGACGTTTATGCTATCATTAGTAAGCTGCATCAGTTACACTCCATATTCGTCTATTTGTTTGTCAGCATGTCTTTGTGTTAGTCGTTTATTTTGTCAAGTACTTTCGTACTTTCTCTACAAAATTCAGCAGTTTAAATCCCAAATTCCCCAAATCCCATTTGGCTATCACCAGTCACATCAGCTCTTCCTTGTGTATTTGTATTTATCTATATATTTATATTAATGTTTGTATACATACATAACTCATATGTATGTTGGTGGCATGTGTATATATAGTTATGCATATTTGCGTATATTGAACAGCTTTTGTACGTAGAAATGCGCAAAAATGTCACTCATACGTTCGGTAGCCCAAAAATTGACATAAAATTCGGCATTAAATTAAATTTTATCTGAACATCAATTTATATATATGTATATATATAAAAAAGAGGAAAATATAAAAATATCAAATAAAAATTTGGTATTTTACGTTTTACTGTTGTTGTTCATTTTTTTTTTTTTTTTTTTTTTTGTTATATTACTTATCTATTTTCGCAATTTCTGTTTTCAATTTTATTTTTATTTTTTTTATTTGGAATATTTTTGTATCATTTTATTATTGCAGTTAAAATTTCTGTTGACGTATTTTATTGAAAATTTTAAAATATAATATTTGCATTTTTTATTAAATATGAAAATACAACAAATTATTTATATTTAAAAATAAAAAAGAAATGTTGAAATATTTCAATAAATTTTCATATTTTTATAGACACTTGACAACGTTCGGTGAGTGGTTCAGTTTGATATGCTGTGGTTATGTGGACTTTTTGCAATTTCGTATTGTTGATTTTGAGCTTTAAATATTATTTTTTAATTTGTAATATCTTAACAGCTTAATTAAAATGTATTGATATAGTTAATAAGAGAAATGTTAATAAAATATAAACTCTATTTTTAAAGCTTTTAAAAGATGATTATACTTTTTCAATAATTAATGCGGACGTGCCATATTCATGATAAAATATTTTTACATTGTCGTGGTTTGTATATTTAATTTATATTTGAGAATATAATAAATAAAATAACAGAGTGGTAAAATAAATAATTTATAATTTATTTCGTAGAGAATTTGAAAACATTGTATACAGTATATATGCGAACACATTTTTTTTGCTATTTGTAAATTTTAAGCCATATTTATTTGAAGGAATTTATTAAAAAATTTTTCATCCACTTTTTTACTATTACTATCTTAAGTTTCTTGTTATTTCGGCATTTGTATGCTTTTAGCTGGCACTTTGACTTAAATGTCACAACGCGTTTTAAGTTGAAGTTTGAAGTAAAGTGCTTGAGTAGGACCATGTATAACCATTGTGATGTTTTCAATACATTACTTAAATTTTTTAATAATCTAAAAAAAAATATTTCTTCTTGTTTGCAGTTTCTTGTTATTTCGCCAATTTTGATGCTTTTAGCTGGTATTTTGACTCTTGCTAATTTTCATGTATATATTTCGAGCAAATAGAGCACGCTACGCTTTTCCTTAAGTGGGCCTATTTACGCTATCATGAACGTGAGAAGAACGTGACGACAACATGAACTTAACATACAGTTCAGTTTTCACTATCATGAACTGTTATGAAGCTTGAAATTTGTTTTGTTTTGTGTAAACGTATAAAATGCTTATGTGTAGCAGTGCATAGCACAGAAATTCAAAATATTCACAAACACCAAAACATAACATTGTATATGCATGCGTCTCAAACTGAAAAAAAGCAACAATTTTCGTTGCTTAATATTCGTGAACTAACATCATACTCTCTTCCGTCTCCAATCTATCGAAAACCGGTTTTCAAGTTCATGTTCATGTTACGTTCATGATAGTGTAAATTGGGCCAGTGAGTGATATATTTTATAAATTTTTCTTCCTTTTTTAGTGCAGTTTTTAAACCCTTATTTACGATTTGGTGTTGTTAGCTGCTATTTAGACTTTTGGTTATTTTGTTGTAGACACTTTAGCTAATTTATGCATTGCCAATTACGTGGGCTAAGTAAGGTAACTTCGTAATTGATATAAATTGAGTTGAGTATGGTCATTTACAAATATACAGTGCCCCATATTCAATATGGTATATAACTCATTCAATTTAGTATGTAATCTTGAGGATTTTCATTGTTTTTATATTGATTTATTATACTAATTGCAATTTCCACAATTAAGAACTGACTTTAATAGACATGTGAATTATCATGTTCAAAATACCTTAAGTCGTTTCGACTATCTTATATACAAGGTCTCACCATTCAATAAGGGAAAAATTTATTTCTCGGACATCAGTGTGGTTAAAAAAAGAAACTTAAATAAATAAAATCACTTGACCGAATAAAAAGAAAATTTATGGCAGAAAAAATGTTCTGTGGCCAGACAAGAGTAAATCACTTTTGTGCTTGTTTGGTATTTATTGCAAAAATTTGCAATAATAAATTGCCTGCACATAAGTATCTACTCGTACGAATGTTTGGGAAAAAAGTTTATTAATTTCGATATCCAAACAAGCAACACTTAACCTTTTTGCCAATTACAACTCAAGCATATTTTCATGCTTTATTAACATTTATTGTCAATAAATTAAATGAATAAAATAAATAAATTCATTCAATTGTCAACTGCAATAAAATTCCTAATTGTATAATAGAATAAAAATCTATGAAATTTATTTGTTTTCAAGATTTTACATAATTTAGATTATTTACAATTTGAATTTATTAAATTGAAAACAATTTAAAAATATAGGTATATTGTATTTAACTTT